AAAAAAAAAAAAAAAAAAAAATGAAGACAAAGAAAATGGGACACGTACACACAGTGGAATACTGTGTTCTCTGCAAAAAGACCACAGGCTGTCACGAGGTGGATGAGCTGGACAACGTTATGTGGAGTGAAATAAGCCAGGCACAGAGGGACAAGGGCCGCGTGATCTCGCTCAGATGCGGAGCCCACCCTCACTTCAGGACCTGGGCTGGGAAAGTGGCCAGCGGGCACAGTGTCACAGCCGGGTGAGAGGAGTGGGCGAGGACAGTCGGTAAGGACATGCTATGCATTCCCAAGCAGAAGGGAGGACGCTGAACACGAAGACAATGCCAGCAAGAAGAAACCGTGAACGTTGGATACCTGCGCTCACAACTCTGGTTGATCATCACAGCACACACCTGCATCAAAATACACCGCTGTGCCCTGGAAGCTTGTGCATTGTTTGTTAATTAAAAACAGAGCCTGAAGGAGAATCCCGCAGAGAGCTTTTGAAAAGGACTCATGGTGAGAGCACCCAGGAGGAGCCCCTCAGTCTCTGGAGGGGTCCGAGTGTCGGCATCTGTCCTCAGATCACTGTCAGGCTGGGATGAATGTCCACCCTGAACCTCCCCGGGGAGCTTCGATGCCCTGAGAGGAGGACTCACCTGGTGTCCGGCAAGCAGGCTTCCAGGCAGACACCAATAACGCGCCAGGAAGAAAAGGGCCACCCAGCTCAGCACCAAGGAGATGAGGAAGGCAATGAAGAATCCTGCTGCATGGAGACCGTGGTGCGGGAGGACCTGCAGGGGCAGCAGGGAGACAGAGAGTCACACGTGGTCACACGGCCCCTCTCCCAGGTCAAGCGGATGGCCAAGAGGCTTTGCAAAACACACAGGGGCTAGAGAGACCATCAGGGTCTGGACTGAGCTCTACCAGAGACCAGCTGGTCGCCCTGAGGCCTCAATGGCTCTCTCTGAGCCTGAGCTGCCCGGTGGGGTCCAAAGGGGCAGGCAAGGGCTGATCAGCGGGGGCACATGGCAGAGCCACCCAGCCCCACAGCTGGCACATCACACACTGAGCGTGTTAAGTTCCCATATCGAATATGCGCCAAATCTGAGGCAGGCCAGGATGAGATGAGGCTGTCCCCAGGAGGACTTCCCATCACAGGCCCAGAGGAGGAGGCAGGCAGCGTCCCAGGCAACTCTGCAGCCTGACAGGGTGGGCAGGAGGTCACTCACAGGCTGAGTATGGCTGGTGGGTGAGGAGCTGCATCACCCAGATCCCCTTCCAGGAAGGACTGGGTCCCCAGATATGGGCAGATGGCACCGTGGCAACCTCCAGGTTCCAGGGCAAAATCAGCAGCAGCAGGGAGAGCCACTGCATTTGACGTCATGCCCTGCCCGGGACAGCCGACATCAGGTGGCAGAGCACAGCAGGGGCCTGACGACAGCCATCCCAGCCTTACGGTCACCGTGATGGGCAGCACCTGGCCCCGGGGTTCCAGCCAGGGTGGCTGAGCTCTGCTGGCCAGATCACAACCCATGCTTTTCCTGCATCCAGTCCTGGTCTTCCCCTGCACCCTCACAGGAGGCACTGACTGTCAGGTCCCGAGATCACCCACAGGTTTGACGACTCACTGTGTGGGCTCACCATGGTCCTGTTCACAGAAGGTCACAGCACGAAGATGCCCAGCAAAACCAGACAGGGGAGGAGAAGCATCGGGCAAAGCCCTGTGAGGCCACAGCTTCCCAGGTCCCTCCAGGGAGCACACAGGACCCGCCCAGACCACCAAGTACGCACTGTGACAATGCATATGAAACACGAGGAGACTCAGAGCCCAGGTCTAAGCTCAGCGCTGACCCCTCCGGCCCCTCTGCAGGTGCTTACAAGAGTCCAGACCCCCAGAGGAAGGCAAGTGTACAGCGTAAATAAGGTTTCTTTGTAAAACTGGTTTAGTCACCGTGAGCAGGACTGATCAGCTTGGGGAGTGGGAAGATCCTGCGATCCCAGGTCTCAGAGGCCAGCCCAGAACACCTTGCACACTGGCTTCCTAAGGACAGTGGTCTCAGGCCCGCTAAGTTCACATTTTTCTGCTCATGGCAAACATACCATACCCATCTCTGTCTCCATAGCTGCTTCCAGAGAAGCCAGTCTGGGACAGCAGGTTTAATTCACAGCAGCCACAGAGGAGGGCAACATTTATCGCTTAGAAGCCAGAAGGCAACTAACCTGTCCCTCGTCCCTGTGGCCACAGTGCAGGGGACAGTCAAGGTTAAATCTTCCCACACACCAACAAGCCCAACCCAACCTTGCAGACCGTGAAGCTAAGTTAGGCCAAACAGCGGCTCCCTTCCAGATGTCCGTGGGGCGTGAATGAAACCAGGATGGCATGCACATCATGCCGAGGAGGACTGGACTTTGTCACACCGATGGGCAGGAGCCAAACCTGCTTCCTGCTCTGCCCTCTTGAATCTTGCCTTTTGATTAGCACCAAAATGAAATGCAGGTCCTCCGTTTGTGCTGGAAATATTACTCTGAGCCCTGAGCCTGAGTCAGCCCTGTGCTAACTGCGCATCTACCCGACAAGAAAAAGATCAATAACTGGGTAAGAACAACACTGCATGGGGATGAGGTTAAAATGTTGACAGGATGGAGACAAAGTCTCTAAAGAGAACAGACACTGGGGGCAGCAGTCTGTATCCAAGGCTCGATCTCTCCAAGGAGGCAGCAACCTGCTTTTCCAGGGTGAGGAAGGAGGTGGGGCTAAAGGGAATTAAGATTGTGAGCGCCTACAACACGCCACACTCTGCGGGAGGTGTATATGTGAGCTTAACGGTGCCCTGCAAAGAGACACGCTAAAGTCCTAGCCTGCAGTACCACCAATGTGACCTTATTGGGAAATACAGTCTTTGTTGACATAATCGAATTAAGATGAGGTGGCACTGGGTTGCGGTGGCCCTAATCCAACGAACGTGTCCTCATAAGGAGAGGATGATTTAGAGGCAGGGGGCACACAGAGGAAACACAGCCCTAAAAGATGGGGGCAGAGATTAGAGTCGTGCAGCTGAAGGCCCAGGGTTTCTCAAGCCGAGAGGCTGGGAATACACAAGGAAGGATGGCTCTTAGAACCTTCAGCTGGAATGTGGACCTGCCAGCCCCAGGATTGTGAGAGAATAAACTTCTATGTGCTCAGGCACCAAGCTCACAGTGATTCACTACGGCAGCCTGAGGGCACCGATACAGCACATTATACTTCACCTCCCAGAATCTTCAGCAGCCCCCAGTCTACCGATAGACAAATCGGGGTGCAGAGATTAATAATTAGTATCTACAGCTGAGAAATGACAGCCTTAGCTGTGCTGGACTCCAATGTCTGCAGTCTTCCCACCAGATCACATTACCTTCTGTCTAGGAGGTTGTGGACTTTTCTAAAACATTCTTAGTCCCAACTTCCTACTCCCTGGTAGAAAGTATAGTACTTGCCTGACTGATGAGAACAGAAGCAAAGACTGAGACAGAATTACATGTGGCCAAGGTACTGCAGAAGGCAGCAAAAGAAGTCCCAAACACATTCATCCCACCACCACCTCTGAATCTGTCTCTTGAGATCTGACTTCCTTTGGTCATGTGCATGGCCAAGAGGATTTGAAAAGTAGGACACTGTGGGCCATTCCACAGAGCAGGATCTAGCTTAGTTAGCAGCACAGTCACAGGAGTGATGCTCATATCTAGAAAGACCAAGGCCAGCTCTGGGAATGCCACCAGCCCTTTTATCTTGCAATTCTTCCTGATACCAAGTACAGGCAAACATGGATGAAGCCCGCCTCTTTGGAGCAAGCCCACTCCAACCACACATTCTTCAGTCATTTGTGGTGCTATATTACACAAGGGCCTGCTTCCTGCATGCCCACAACACCTCAATTCTTCAACATCCTCTGTGAAGATGGTCAAAGAAGAGTAAGATTTCATGATGCAGCTTTCTGGGAAGAAGCTTCATACGCCACTAATTACCATTACCACCATCATCATTCTCACTATCACCATCAATACCACCATTATCACCATTATCTCCATCACCACCACCATAACCATCATCACCGAAATCATTATCATCACCATCACCACTGTCGTATCTAGATGTCCCTCCAAAGTCCCACACGTGGGGCTGTTTAGAGGTGGCTGGATCTAGTGTGCGTGAATATGGATTAAAGGTGTGTGATACCTAAATTACTCCACTGACTGGCTTAGCATAATTCTGGGTGTGGATAATGGGAGGTTCTGATCAATAGACTTGTAGCTTGAAAGGAATAAAAGGGAAAGGGATATTCACTGCTCACTGCCTCCTGCCTGCTCTGCCATGGACTGTTTCTCCTCCACCAGGCCCCTCTGCCAGGCCACCCTGCCTTGGAGTCAGGCAACTATGGACTGAAACCGCTACACATCATGAGCTAAAATAAAGCCTTCCTCCTTTTACTTATGGGCATCATGTATTTTGTCCCAGCAAAGAGAAAGTAACTAAGACAACCACCATCATCTCCACCATCATTGTCATCACATCACCAACATCACCACCACCATTGATTAGATGACACCAAGCTTGTTTCCATGTTTTACATATTTTAAGCCCTACAATGGTAGTGTGAGGTGGGCAGTATTTCAATCCCAATGTTATAAATTATGGCAAAGTACAAATAAGTAAATGACCCAAGTCCCAGAGGGTAGATCCAAGATTCACACCCAGGATTCCAGTGACCTTCATAACTACAGCTGCCACTCTAGGGTCAAGCTGCACCTAGGCCTCTCCTAGGGGCCCTGGGTCAGGTCACTAGGGGCTGTATTACTATTATATGTTGGTTCCCCCTCTGAATATGTAGTTTGCCTTTCTGGGAATTAGTAAGTTAGCAGGGAAGGATTTTTAATTCATGTCTCTAGTCAAAAACCATTACAATCTCTTTTTTTTTTGGTACCGGGGATCGAACTCAGGTCCTTGCGCTTGCACAGCAGGCGGCGAAACCACTGAGCTAAATCCCTGGCCCCCATTATAATCTCTTTATAATCATCCCTAACCATCAGCACCTTTATTTAATTTCTTTACGGACCAGGCTTTATTCACTTTTTATCTTTCAAATATTTCAGAATATTCAGAATTCTCTGCCCATTTCGCATGTACAGAGACAGAACTCCGCTACAGTTCAACTTGCATGAAACTCTACTTAAATGGCTATGTCACAGCAGGTTTCCAGGTGTGACCCAGACGGTGGATGTGGTGATAAACTTTCCTGATCAGGCCTAGGTAATTCCCCAAGATGATGAGCCTTGTTGTGGGCCATAGAAGGAAAGAGGGAAGTGGCCCTGCTCTGAGGAGGAATGCATGGTATGTGGACACCAGGGGCCAGTGTGCCTAGCCCAGCCTGGGAAGCTGGTAGACTGAGGGGGGAAGTCCTATCTCAGCTCAAAGGACCAAAGGACGCTTCCCACAAGGTGGCCTGGTGCGCGTGGAGAATAAGTCAGGGAGAGGGAGTCACAGGAAGGACCTACAGTTGCCAAGAGAAGCAGCCTGGGGCCCAGACGCCTTTGAGAGCAGGTTTGAGATTCACCACATCATCCCAAGGACCTAGGAGGAAGGGGTGGCAGTTTCAAGCAGAAAGACACACGGCCAGATCAGCCGGGTAGGACGACTCTGGCTGCTGCATGGCCTCAGTGGGGAGAAGGTAAGGAATGATGGGTGAGAAATGAGGTTGCGGACACAGCAGGAAGTGAAGACCTCGGACTCTGACCCTAGCTGAGAGGTCAACTCCAG